CCCCCCCCCCCCCCCCCTTCTCCATCTCTTACGGCCGTGTCCCCTACCGCGACGCAGACGGGCGCGGTGTTGTACTTCAACATTCCGGTGGACGGCCTGAGCACGATGCTACCGCCGGCGGGGCCGATGGGCAGGGACCAGTTCTTGGCGGCATGGAAGAGCGTCGACGACTCGCTGGAGGTTTCCAAAGAGGTGACTAGCTTAGTTGAGACAGCCTTTTTTTTTTTTTTTGCCACCGGCTGGCTACGCCCCCTCTAGGCGCCTGTCGATTCGTTGGGTGAGTCGTGCGGGTTTCAAGCCGTTCAAGATTTTTCTTCGTTGGCATCCGGGGCGTCTCGACTCTATGAGAACGATACCATATCATGTCTTGCGTACATTTGCCAATATTTGGACGTTTTGGGTTGGGTTTGCAGAAATTTTGTGGATATACAATCTACTTTTGAGAGTTGTGAAAAATATTCACTTCGAAAACACGTCAAATCGGAGACGTTCGACCTCAAAATTCTGTGCATGAAACTGAACTCATTTGGGATTGGCGAAGGAGGACACTTCGTGGGGCTCGTTGGAATGTTGGTATTGGGTATCGTACCATTTGCGTCGAAAAGCGTGCGCTCGACGGAGGCTGCTCACGGATGCGCGGAGGCCGTTATCCCTGCGTTCTCGAGACTCTCCGTTTTCACTCAACAGTTTTTTTTGGCAAACCGTTGGGGGGGGGGGGGGGGGGGTGAAATCCCGTAAGGGCCATGTCCACTTTCCAGAACAGAGTGAGTGGAAAGGTCCAATAAGCTGAAAGTTTTCCTTTTTGAGGGGATCTCCTTGGCCAAACCCCCTCGCCTCTTTCGTTCACACGCCTCTTTCAATTCTCCCTTCCCGCTTTGGCACCCGTAGGCGCAAGGCTTGCCCTTCTCCGGGGACGTTTCGGCGGTGACCCGAAAGCTGCAGGAGCGCAACATCTACTTCGTCGCCGGCAGAGAGGCCCCTGGCCAACAGGCAAGTCGCTTGTTGGCCTACGGTGTGCTCCTCCTCCTGCTGGTGCTGCTGCTACTGCTGTTTTTTTGTGAAGATGGGGTTCTTGGTTCTTGTGTTTTTCGTGGCGTCTTGGTTGTTGTGCGTTTTCACCCCGGGGATGATAAGCCGCGTCCCCTTGTGTCGTGGTTTTGGCGTGAAGCATGTGGGGCGTTCGCCTGTTGTCGCCCGATCTATCGATGAAGGGGCGGCTATGCCGAACAGAATGTAAGGGAGGGTGTCCGCGTCGTAATTAGGAAAAAAAAGCTCTGGGAAGACTAGATAGACGCGGCGTCTTTTTTGCCGCCGACCGAAGACATTCATCCTTCCACGTTTCTATGTACGCTGGGCTACGTTTCCACCCGAGGACGGTGACGGGGGAAGACCTGGGCCCTTCGCTCAACAGTTTTCGTGCTGTTATCATTTGACATGTACCGGTATCGTAGGCGGCGAACGAGTGTCTCTGCTGGGCATGATAGTCATCGATTGATGCGCCAGGCGGACGGTGTGGATGGAGGTGTTTCGGCAGGAATCGACCCGCGGTGACGTGGAGGCCCTAGAGCGACCCTCCCTCAAAAAGTCCCACCGTCGTGTCTTGCGTCCGTCGTGGGTCTCTTTTAGAGGTCGTGATCTCCATGAGCCACATTCGTTGCTCCCGTTTCCCACTCAGCATGATTGGATTTGCTGGGGGCTATCGTCGGGAAGAATAACGATGCGGCGTTTGGTGACCACCCACGCTCTCACCGTGCTACAGTAGCTATTTTGGCTTATTATTCCCGGAACCTGACCACGTTTGTTCCCTCCGTTCCCTTCCTCCCCTTCCACCGACAGATCGTGTACTATTCTTTTAAGCTGGTCCAGCTGCACATGCTGGCAGAGGTGACCTTCCCGGTGGGGGGGAGCGCCGCGGCACCCCGGCTTTGCATCAGGAGTGAGGCGCCGCCGTACGCGCCGCTGGCACTTCAGCTGCTCGAGGCTGCCCTCCGTCAGTAGTAGTAGCGTTCTGCGGTTGCTGTCGAAGCGGGGTTGGTTGTTTTGTCACGCGCTTTGATGCGGCGTGCTGTGAAGACGCTTCTTTTTCTGTTTTCTTTCTTTGTTTCGCTCTTGTTCGTTTTTTTGCCTCAGAGGGTGGGTGTCAGCGCCAGCGGAGAGTGCTTGCTCTCGTCCTCTCCGCCTATGTTTGTAATGATTATGGAGGTGAAGCCTAGGATCTCGAGCGAGGCGTCGTGCGGCAGAGGCACGTCACTCTCGCTTTTGCATTGGAGACGTTCCACTACGGACAGCGACAAGTTTTGCTCTGGCTATTTTTCGGGGACTTGTGCAACTCCAGCGGGGCTTTCGGGCGCGAAATATGCAGGGCAACACGGCAACACAGCACGGCGCCGAATTACGGAAATTCTCAAGAGTTGTTTTTGTTTCCATTTTCACAGAACCTCGATCGATGTTCGGTTTTCACGCCGTTGTGAGTTTGTTTCTGCGCACTGCAAGCTCACTCCTTTTTTTTCGGTACCACAATACGGCTGCGTCTCGTCGAGGTTGCGTAGATCCGAAGAATGGCGGTGTCCGCATTTTGTCGAACTAGAGTCCAAAATGGATGGCAGCGAGGTCTTCAATGGAAATGAAGGGTAGACGCGAATACTCGCACCAACTTGACGACGAGCGTTTGTGGTACGCATGTCTCCATCTTTTGATCTCCGAACTCCCTCAACGCCTACCGTAGATAGCGTAAGATACCGCGCCCCCTGGACCATTTTTGAAAGCTCGCCTACAGCTCTGGAGCAAAATCAGTGGCGTGCCGAAAATTGTGGCGTTGGATCCGTGTCGTCGAGAGATTTCCGCAAACGTTTTCATTTGGTTCTGGCATCCTGGGATGTCGTGGAGTGGTCGAGCTCAGATAGTTCGTCCAGGGGGCGTGGTACCTTATGCACCCTACGGTATCTGGTGTTAAAGGTCGGTGGACCTTTCGAACCAAGTTCCAACCACACCTCCCGTACCTGCTCCGGCCAGCGTCTCTTGAGGTTGGCCACGGTGGTCGCACGCTGCCCAGCGGAGGCCGAAGGGAAAATAAATTAGCGATCTGTCCCGTTGAAAACGCCGCCGTCGGTAAGGTTTTTTCTCCAGTGTCGTCTCGAAAATTCGGTCATGATGCCCGTTCTACTGCTACCGTTTCACTTTCGGTCGGCCACGTCGGTTCTTCTGTGTTCATTCCCGGGCTTGACGGTGCCGAAAATCTCCCAACGTGCGGAGGTTTCTCCCAAGCCTTTGCTTCATGTGCCGCGGAGCGAAGGGGGTGGTCGGCGGGAGGCATATGTTCGACGCCCCTAGAATCGCCCGCACTGGTTGAAGGTAGCAACGAAGACTAAATACAAGTGACAGGCGGTTCGCGGATTCTACGTTGGTGTCGTAACGCTCAAACTCCGAGCGCTCCCCGAACCCGCGGAGGGCATCAACCACCTCAGACCTATGGTACGATACAACCGTTGCGACCCCGATAGTTGAGCAAAGACAGTGACCGCGTTGCCACATATTCTCCATGGTGGATGGAAGTACAGCCAGTTAGAGTGTCATGGCAATTAGACCCTTGGCCCCAAGCTACCATCCGGGCGGGTGTATCTTGTAGAAATACACCGGACCATTGGTTGTTTGGAGGAAGCAAGCGTACACGCGTTCCTCTCTTGTTTAGTGTTGCCTGGGAGTGAACGACAGATACCGGAGCAGCTACGGGAAGGTGTGGTTGGGACCTGAGGAAGAAAGCAAGGAACGAGTAGCTGAGGGAGAAAGCAAGGAATGAAATTCGGACTTGATTCAGAGCGCCTCTAACCTGATTTTTGTCACATATGGGCTCGTCTTGGGCCAACGTATGGTGTGCATATGCATATGCATAAGTCAGACTATTGTGTTTTTGTCCGATTATCCCGCTAGGGTTTCACCGTTATGCCACGTCCGGGGAGGTCAATATCATGGTAGACAGCGTTGCTTGCCCCACTACATGGATTTCGACCTAAAAGACTCGAATCGCGACATTGTAAGTACCGTGGTATGCATGGAGTGTGTGGTTGACGCACATACAATCTACAGCAGCAGGCAGCAGCTGGGAAAGGGGGACAGGAGAGCGGGGATAGACCCCCTTTCCCGACAGCCTCAAACACGTGAAGTGGAAACTCGTAAACTGCCTTCTCCAATCTTGCAGACATGCTCCCTCCAACGAAAGAGACAGAAGGCCATAGGGGAGAAGGGCATACTATCCACCATACATTTTGTGGGGTCTTTCACAGGATCGCGGTGCGGTTGCAGGCTCCGTTCATATTTATGTCGTAAACGTCGCAGATCTTCTTGCAAACCTGCTGGGTGTACCTTACATTTTTCAATAGCCTTCGACGGTCGACAATGGGAATGCTGTTGTTGGGCGTGCGAGACGAATCGGATGTCAGCATAGGATTAACAAAGATCGGGCGCGTGCAGAAGTAAGTCATATCGACAGTGGGCCGGCAGCAGAGCGCCCAATTCGGGCTGTTCGTGCGATTGTGGGCGTCGCCGGCATTGCAATATCTGCAAAAGAGTGAATCCAGTCAGACTGTGAGTGAATGAACAACATATGCTAAAATCATTGTGACGACACAGCGAATAGAAAAGAGCCAATACACCTCCCACCGAATCATGTGTATTGTTTTCTGGCGCTGGTGCACTCATGTATGTTTCGACGTGTCGTAGCGTTCCGCTGTGATGTGCACCTAAACTTCGACACTCGCACGCATCTGGGTCCCTGAAACGTGCTACGAGTTAATGAATGCGGCTACAGGCCGGGTGTGTGAATTGGAACCTGTGATAGCTGTAGTGAAAGTTCAATCTGAAATGCACCAAACGATACAAGAGTGAAATGACGCTGCGCTACAGGTGGCGTAAACCCCGCTTGGTTTGGAATACGTCCTCAGCACATATTAATTCGGTTTCGACACAAGGAATGATCAACAGACAGAGTTCATTAGTGTGAGACACAGTGGTTCACATTACTGTAGAATCGGGTGCGGTGGAAAAGAACGCCCTTGGGCCACCCATAGGTATGCCCATGGGCTGCCCGTGAACTACCCGTGAATCGCCGGTGAACTGGCCGTTTGGTGGGCCCATGGGCAGCCCATGAACTGCGCACGAACAGCCCACGTGGGCACTTCACTATTATAGGACTTCGCCACAACTTCGCCACCGGCATATATATTAACCTATAGAGAACTTAGCCACCCGGCACATCGACCTACTGTACATTTAAACCTAGTCATCCAGCCCCAACCAAGCACGTATTGTGTGGCATGAGGTTGGGGTTGCGGTTAGCGTTAGGGTTTTGAGCCTTTGTTTTGCCCCTCCAAAAGAGAGCCTGGCATGCACAATACAGTGGCAATATGTCCAAGCTCCGAAAAACGTTCGGAGACATACGTGCACGCAGTAGATCCTCACCATCACGCAACACCGGTGCGCGAGTGTGAGAAATCCTGCCTCCACCATCAAGAGTCGCTGGGAAACAGTACCAGCAGGACTCGAATTTTCCAACCCTCTGCTCAAGCATTTGCCGACCCGATGCCCCTTCCTGACAGCTGACTATTTGCCATACAGTGTTTGTTGACGGGCTATAAGCCTCTGCCGTGAACAGCGAAGTGAAGAGCGGAGGGGGCGGCAGGACGATGACGGTACGGTCACACCGATGGTAAATCCCGGGAAATGCAAATGGACAGTTGTGTCTGAATTCCACGCGCACCACCATGGTATCCTCCTCACCCCCGCACGCCCACATGTGTATCGTCACTGGGCCAGTGAGTGTGCTCTGAAGACATGCCATTGTGATGGCGGTCTCGAACAACATGCCTTCAGCAACAACCTGAGAGTGGTGGACGAATCGGCGGATGGATCCGACGGGCAAAGGTATGCTCATCCTCGACACAACCCGATCTTTCATTCTACGGCCGACCAGCGGACCATGGCGCAGGCGGACATACATGTAGCATACAAGGAATTGTGTCGCAAACGGGACCGTTTGGCCATGCTCATGCGCGGGCACACCACAGCCTGGGCTATTTCTGCACGCCGTTGTACATGGCAAGGTCAACACCGTTGGCACGACACCGTTGGCATGGCAGTCAACCTCAATCGGTGGTCCCGCACACACCACGCTGGCGGTTTTGTCGTGTTGGCGCAGACCAAATTGGTGAGTTTCGGGCGATAGGGTATGTAGAACCAAAGGTGAGCACCGTCGATGAGAGCAGACCCTGGAACTGTTTGGCTGACAAAAGTGTTTCCGTCTTACACATCTACCTGTCTTTTCCAGCGTGGCCTTGGTTGATTGGGAGTTTGACTGGCACAAAGTGTCTCAGTCTTAGAGCAAGTGTTTGTCTCTCATTCTTCCCCAAACTCAAACAAAAAACACCCGGGGGGGTATCCAAACAACCCCCCCACCCACCACCACACCACCTCACCTCCACCTCACACCAACACACCCACCAAAACCGGAACCGCGGTATTACCATATCCTATAGGCTATCCACCACCTCGCCGCAGAACACATGTGTCCATGCACATACATCCATACGTTGTTCGCCAATTCGCCAGCGGGTGTGCCTTTGAAGACATGGCTGTGCTGTAACGGTCCCAAGCAATAGTCTATGTCGACAGCACGAAAGAAATTCGGCACGATCCACGATCCATGATCCGACGACTCCGACGGGAAAATGTTCCTCCGCGTTCCTCCGTGATTCGGGGCGATCTTTCATTCCACCTTGCACCACCATGGCATCCACCTCACCGCAAGCCCAAACTACAGTGTGTGGTGTATGGTCACTTGGCCAGCGAGTGCGCTCTGAAGACATGCCGCCAGTGTGAGGTGATGGACTCAAACAACATGCCTTCAGCAACAGGAACAGCAGAATTAGAGGGGTGGACGGATCCATCCACGGATCGGATGGATCCGACGGGTAAACGCTTCATTCTACGGCCGACCAGCGGACCACGCAGGCGGAGATAACAAGGCATGTTAATGTGTCGCACAACGGGACCGTTTGGCTATGCTCATGCTCGGGCACACCACAGTCCGGGTGATTGCTGCACGCCATGGTAAACACCGTTGGCACGACGGTTGGCACGGCCGTCTACCTCAATCGGTGGTTCCGCACAACACGCTGACCAGTTTCACCGTGTTGGCGCAGACCAAATTGGTGAGTTTTGAGCGATAGGGTACATAGAAACAAAGGTGAGCACCGTGGATATGAGCAGACCCTGGAATTGTTTAGCTGGCACAAAGTGTTTCAGTCTTACAGATTTACCTGTCTCTTCCAGCGGCGGTCTTGATTGATTTGGAGCTTGGCTGGCACAAAGTGTTTCAGTCTTAGAGCAAGTGTCTGTCTCTCATTCTTTCCCCAAACTCAAACAAAAAACACCCGGGGGGGTATCCAAACAACCCCCCCACCCACCACCACACCACCACACACCAACACACCACCAACGTGTTCATGCACGTACGTTGTTGTAGCACCTGTCGGAAACGCAGGTGCGCCTCCTACCGAGTTCATGGCAAGGGTACCCTCTCACTTTGAAGGAGGATAAATGTTGATCAAACGTAGACGGCGTTGAAGCTTGCCCAATTCACTTCGCACATACCTCGTAAGCGTCGTTGATATATATATATATATGTCATGCGCACCGTAGAGACGCGGCTTTTGTTGTTTTGGTCTGGGTGGTGCAGCACAGCCAAATGCATGTACGTCTTCTTTACTTACAGCGAGGGCGATAAAAATAACAGCGACCAAGCGGCATGAGAACAATGATGTTTGACATTGTCAGAAATACCCACGAAAGACGGAATGCAGTGAATAGTGTTCCCAGCAAGAGAAACTGGGTTTGCCATGAGAAGTGCCACAAGAATCGACCATGGCGCGGGAAGGCAAGTGAAGTGAAACGAGAAGATATCGCCCTGGGCGGAATGGTGTGCCTCTGCCGGGGTAGAGGTCGAACTAGCGCCCAGGTTCACATAGGGACACTCGGCTTTCATCCTGACTTCTTCTTCGAGGGCAGCAGATATATAGAACAGAGCCTCGTGGTATGTTTCACGCAGCACGCGGGAGGAAAGTTGACTCAGATCAACATCGCATAAGGCATGCTGCACTTGCAATGTACGACATGGAAAATCTGTCGTTTGCTCCATGTAAATCTCAAAACATTCCGACCAGAAATCCAAGAAGGCAGTGTCGTAGTCCTAAAGTATAATACATACGTAGCTCAGGCCATGGTGGTTCATGGCTGAGGAACCAAAGCTGAAAACCGACATTGTGAAACGAAACCTGTCGAACCTGCCGAATGCCGTCGGCATTTCCCTCGGGTGCGAAATGCTAGGACGGTAGGACGGTGCGGCTTATCCTCGCGTCGACTGTCGAACGGGGACGTGAACAGATTATGTTGCAGTGCTTTATCTCGAGGGAGAAGAGGAATATATGTGGAGAAAATCTTGATGCCCGCGGATGATGCCTTATATACCTGTTTGTCGCTGTAACGCCGTAGATCTTACCCCTTCCTTCTCTTCAACAGTACAACGCATTCACAATAACGGGAGCTGGTGCCGAACCACCTCCCAATCACGATCGCCAACGCTCGTCAAGGCAGGTTTCACTATACAGTACATCTTCCCATCAATACCAATCACGAGCACACGGTATACACCCATTCCTATAAATTGGTACTTAGTTGTTGTTGTAATTATTCGTAGTTGTTTAAACCAGTACAGACGTTCCAGGGGAAGACGTATGCACGACTGCACAGCGTGCACGAGCCATGCGAAGGCTATCCGCAATTCCTTCCCGGTAACGGTGAACAGGCAGCAGATGCACTCGAACTGTCTGTTGTAATGTGCCATCATCTACATATCTAATCGCTCTACACTTTTCCATAACATTGGCAGAAACACCCCCACTTTTGCCCAAAAGGTTTGCAAGTCGTCACGTCCACGCGGATTTTTTCTTCCCTTCGCACACTTCACACCACCGGAAACATGCACTATCTCTCCGGCGCTTTTTGTCTGTGTCTTCCCACCAGTCGTTTGCCACCCATGGAAGGAATATTTTTTCATGGTGCGCCCTGCAGAACTCCAAACTCCAACACGTTCCGCCCTGGAATGAACACGATATTCTGCATTGGTTGGAGGGGTGGGGGATCTCTGGATCATCGGGCTTCAGAATTCACATTTATTTTCCACTGAGGTCAGCGAATGAATGAGCCCAGTGTCTTGAGAAGGGAAAGAAAACTTGAACTCGGTGCCCTCAAGACAGCAGTAACCGAAAAACATATCAAGGCGTACTGTAGCTCTTTGCGGAAGTGCAAACGAACATGCTGATTTTCAGTACGGATATTGCGTCCAAGCATAATGAATCTCCAACTCGAAATACATATCTATACCACTTCTGCGTAGACTAGCATTAATTGGAAGCGAAGGTAAATATGGAAGCACGCAACAAAATGGGTGATGCGCGTACCGGTTGGTATGTCAACTCCGTATTGCTAAAACACTTAAACGGCCCCGAACAATCTACAGGGAACCACGACGATAATAGAGGAAAAATCTCGCGTCAAGGCTCAACTGAAGGTCTCCAAGGCCATTCTTCAAACTCACTAGGCTACTCTAGACTCGAATCTCTCCCTGAATAATCTCCGCCTAAAGGCCACTTGATGTCGTAAAAATCACAGGGGATGCAGCCAACTTTGATCGTCGTCAAGCTGTCCGGCCAGACGATGTTATCAATGTCCCCCGAGAAGTTTCCCCCCAAGAAGAGGGACTCCAAACCCACCGGCCATTCTTGGATGCCAAGCGAGTGATCGAACGAATCGCCCAAGTAGAGCACCTTCAGATTGGTCGGCCATTTGACGTCGTGCAGAGGCTGGTCGAAGTTGTCGCCAAGGTAGAGATAGGCTAGGCCTGGAGGAAATCGCACCTCGTCGAGCGGCTGGTCGAAAGCATCGCTCAGTTGGATGAATTTCAAAGACTCTGGCAAGTCTACCAGTGCAAGAGGGTAATCCCAGTGGCAGCACATCTTCAAGGCAGCTAGTCGTTGGGGAAGCCGTGTGTGCTCCGAGGTCATATTTAACCTGCAGCCGAACCTGAGGTACTCGAGGTCTGCGCGCCACGTGACACCACCAAGATTCTTCACGTACACGAAGGACAACAACGCACACAACATGGAGGAAGAGGAGGGGGCGGGCGAAAAATCGGTGGCGCGAGAATTGCGGCCGGATGAAGGGACGATGGCAGCTGCAGTCATCCGTTGGCAACCTGTCAATGGACAGACGTAGTAAAACACCCTTGAGGTCATCCGTTGGCAACCTGTCAATGGACAGACGTAGTAAAACACCCCTGAGGAATGAATGAATCGTTTACCGAAAGAACAGATCCTGAACATTCTTCTACTCGCGAAATGCATGCACACGACACGATACGTACTTACAGTAGCTAGCCAAACCCCGACCTCACCCTCGAAGTACCGCCGTGGGTTTTCCAAAGCCCGTCGGCTCTGACGTCAGCTGGCAAAACCGCAAGTGTTCAATATGTACAGCACATGTTGAAAACGTTCGTTGTATCGCATTTGGGTCCACCAACCGTGTTTTTCAGGATGACTATTAATACGCATTTCAAGACTTAGACTAGGTGGTATCAAGCGTTCTCCCAAGCCCACACGCACCCACAACACACACCTGGTTGAACTTGTCCCCCAAGTCCAAGCGTTTTACAGAGGACGGGAACGCCACCGACACAAGTGGTTGGTCAAACTCTTGGACGGGAACGCCACCGACACAAGCGGTTGGTCAAACTCTTGGCTGAAAATGATTTTTCGAAGCCCCTTGAGGCCAGACCACGTCACTGATGGGCTGGTTAAACCCTCTGCCGAACGCCAGTTGCTGTAGTCCCCCGGGCAAGTTCACTTCACACAACGACTGGTCAAAGAACCTACCGAGAGCAGGCATCTGCAGTCCATTGGAAAATTCCACCCTGTCCAACGGCTGGTTGAAGGCTTCGCCGAGTGTGAGCATCAGGAGTCCGCGTGGAAGTTTCACTCCAGCTAACGGCTGATTGAACGAGCACCCGAAACGGACGTGAGTGAGCGTCCGCGGCCACTGACGCAGCTGAGGCTGTTGTCGAATTGCTTGCCGAAGGTGATCTCTCTCAATCGTTCAGGCCAGCGCATGTTTGTCACGGTTGGGTTGAAGCGGTCGCATAGTGTGAGCCGGCTGACGAGCACAGCAGGAACCCCCGCCACGCCTGCCCCTCTGCCTCTGCGTCGTTGGCCACGTGCGTCTCGGCCTGCCGTCCAAAGGCGTCGGGGGATTCGGGAGTTCACTTTTACGTGGATTTCTGTCGACTCTTTACAGTCTCCGCAGATCGAGGAAGAGGCCAGTTGTAGCTGCTTGACGGCTGTGACAGACACCATCTCGGAAAGAAGCACAGCCCTCAAGGCGGCTGAAAGGAGGGGCTGCGTTGGTGCGCTGCTGTTGATGGGGATATCCACATTGTCTTGTCTGCTTTCCCAGTCGTCCACCCGTGACCCACGTGCAAGCATGTGAAAAAGTGACAAGGTTCTGTTTTTCACTGCCGCTGATGGATCGAGGTGTGTCGTCATCTTTCGGTGGATCCGCCAGGTCAACGATGGACACCGGAAATTTCGCATAGAGAACACGGCCCTTTAACCCGGGATGGGGCCTTTGGAACACCACGTCGCGTTTACACGGATTGAAATCTAGCACGGACACGTATGGCCGACCTCCGACTTTCATGGGGGCTTGAGGAGGTACGCAGATTGGACCGATAGCTGGAATATTGCGCCGCATCGGGAAATCACAGCAAAGGCAGACGGTACGAGGGGGAATGTTTCGGCTAAGAGTAGTTAAGGGGTGGCAAATCATCAGCAACAACATGTGTGTGCTTTGCCAGCAGCGTACTTGATTGATGGCACATTAGTTGCGCCGTGAAACGACTTGTGGGGTTAGCCGAACGATCCTCGGCTCACACGAACGTTATGACAGTCTCGGAGTGAAACGAAGACTGAACTCGCGGCCTATGAAACTCGCGGCGTTCAACCTCCCCAGAGCACAACCGGTAGCAGCAACTTCAGAAACCACAGGAAAGCAAGGGACCAGCAACCCTCATCGTCCACGGCAGATCCCCCGTTGAAAGTACATAATCACCGAAAGGCGCGCAGGTATGCCCGCGGCGGCGGGATAGGCGCTGGCTTCTCCTGTGCTTGAGTGGGAGGACCTCCGGGTGGGTAGAAGTGGTAATAAGACGGGGTGCGATGAAGTCCGGTGATTCGTTGGAGGAGAAAGACGGGGTCGATGCAGATCGAGGCCACGCGGCACCTTCTGGGCGTGAAGCCTTGGCGCCCTGGGTGAAGTCCATGATGACTTCAAATTCTTGAAATGTGGGAGTGAGTTGGAGTCTATGGAGCCTTCCTTTTCTCTCTACAACAAAGATCCTGTAGGAGTGAGTTGCTGTAGCAGCCTGAGATTCAGACGTGGTGGTGTGGGTGGAGGGGAGAATGAGAGTGAGATGAGAGGGGGGAACAGGCAGACGGAGAGAAGGAGACGGAGAGAGGGAGGTACAGAACGCCTCTCTCCATTAATGAAACTCCCTGTTCGAGCCTGTGTAGCGCGGGGGTCCAACAGTTTACCATCACTGCCCTATACGCCTCAGCATAGAGTACCTGCCCTGTTTATGTGCGCGCGGATGAGACGATGCCCCAGCGTTTGCAACCTGCCGCGTGTTGAAATCGAGGTATAATCAGCGGGGACGTACACCGGAAGGCCTGTTGTATTGGAAGGGAAACTGGAAACGCAGACCATAGTGTAGCATGCGACACACAGGGGTTCTACGGCCACGAGTGCTGCTGCATCACGCATGTGTGCATGTCCCGACGCGGTGAGCAGTAGTCCATCGACTGGATGGTGCAGTACGGACGGCGTGATCGCCTCGAGATGCAGGCTGAACTCTGTCATAGTTGCTCCAGGCTCCAACTCCAGAGAGCAAGCACATTCTACCCATTGGCGGTTCGCTTGTGGGGAAAAGCAGCTGCAATTGTTCAGCTATATCCTGTTGTTGGCGATTGTGGCGAGGGGTACGCTAGGGTATTCACAAGAGCAAATGTTGATATTCACACACACGCCCACAAGCTTCCTTCCTCGCGGTTGTAGCGCTTGGCAACGCCTTCACAAGATCGCATCAAACACATGTAGTAGAGTCGTTGCTGCAAGTACGCCCAAACATATCCTCGTAAAAAAAAAAAAACTACTGTACGTCATTGGTGTACCTATAGTTTCGGATGCGAAAGACCCATTTATCTCTCTCTCTCTCTCTCTCTCTCTCTCTCTCTCTCTCTCTCTCTCTCTCTCTCTCTCTCTCTCTCTCAATGTGTACTCTCCTATAAAAGTGAAGATGCCTGTGAGGAGTTCGAGTCACCCCCGCAACAAGGGACGTAATTCTAATACATGGCCAAAAACAGGCTGACAATGCCGACAAACCTCTTGTACCGACGTGATTCCCTTTTTGGACCAGGGTCCACACGGCGCTCACTGGAGTGCGAGGGGGGGGCTGGAACCCTGATCCCGTTTCAAGTAGTTCAGGCTATACTGCAAAAAAAACACACCAAAAATTGTACATGTAGACCAGCAGAGTCAGGAACACCTGGATAGAGCGATGGCACTCACAACAATAGCGTATTCATGGAAGCATGGCATTCGAAACAATGGCAATTGTGTCGCACAGGCCGACGTCGCACAAGAAGGCCCCCACTCTGTCAAGTACCCTGAAGGCCCCATACTGTACAAACGATGGCCGTTCGACCATCCTTCACAAAAAAAACACCAACTGTAGATACAGCCTTTGGTGGTGTAGACTGCACCGGACCCGTCGTGGGTCAAGCAGATTCATTCTGATACCTGCACCACAACTTTGCCGTGGGCATGCCCGCTTTCTTGGAGCTTGAACGCCGCGCGGACCTCCTCCGTGGTGAACGGGCGGGGGCGGCCCCCATCCAGCACGACGCGTACGTCGCCAGCTTCGATCAGCGCAAACAGCTCCGCGAACTGAGTGCGCTTTGCGTCGATACCGAGGCCGAAGACGAACTTGTAGCGCGGCCGTCCCCACGGCCACAGCGACGTGCCGATTATCTTGCCGAGGACGGGGAGCATGAAGACGCGGACCACCTGCCACATCGAGTGACCATCGAACCACTTCCCGCATGGAGGCACCTTGGGAAGAACGCACCGATGCAAACGAAACTGAACTTTTCGTACGAGGTCGGTGAAGCATGCAAGATTTCGTCTTTGCCTTGCTCACTCTGAGGTTCCACGCTGTTCGGTGTACAAGTTAAACATTTCCCACATCTATCTGTGCACCGACCGTTTCCATGCTGCCCCCTGGATAATCGGATCCGCTGCTCATGGCAAATGCTCAAAACTGGGCATACGCAGGAGTTGTGCCTGGTGTTGGGAATTCTGCTGTAGAGACCGTCGCACACACATCGCATGAGGGGAATGTACTACTCGAGTGCAGCTTTTCCCCACGAATTGCGAGATAAGTGAGCTCCACGCTGTGTTCCAGAGAAAGCAAACAGGCCCCGTGTCGATGTATGAAAGCAGAGACCCACTACGGTCAAGGTCCCTGTTTAGAGCCGGTTGAATAGTGTCGGTGCCCGGCATAGTGCCGGGCAAATCTCTGGGCATCATTGCCAACTCCTAAACCTATATCCCTGTTCTGGTAGTGCCGATGTCCGGTATAGTTCCGGTGAATTTCGTGGGCACATACCGGCACTAATCACGGACCTCTACTGTATACCATACTGCACTCTGCCCGTCGTGCCGGACGAACTCCTCCCGCGCACCGTCGTCACAAAGCGTCCGCCTCGCCACCCGGTCTTCACGATCGGCTTTGCCCTCCCGCCCTTGGACGTCACCCGGTCCCACCCCTTCTCCACCAGGTCGAACACCACGTCGAACTTCCCGGCCTCCGCCTGGAACTCGCTCGAGGCCCAGACGTCCTCCTCCCGGTAGTCGATGGACTTGTCCGCCCCGAGCTCCGCCATCAGCTCGGTCTGCGTGGACACGGCGGCGACGTAGGAGGCGCCCTTGGCCCGGGCGAGCTGCACCAGGAACGTGCCGACGCCCCCGGAACCCCCGATTACTAGAACCCGGTCGCCGCGCTTCACATGGCGGGAGATCACGACCGCCGAGGCGCCGCTGGAAGCGGTCGCGGCCACTTCCGCCGGGGATAGACCGGCGGGCGGGTTCCGCGCGCACTGGCTGCTCTTGGCGAGCGCGTACTCGGCCAGGCCACCCCAGTTGCGGTCGAACTGGGACACCACATTGTCGCCCACCTTGAGGTACGTCTCCCCGTCGGCGACGGCCTCCACCACACTACCACCAGCAACGCAGTCAGTTTAGCATGAGGGATAACGAGGCATCGCGACGAAGGCCGAGCGGCGAGAACTCACACTTTCCGTACTTAGGAAACAACCACCTCAATATGCGCTGGTGAACAAAAATATGCGTATCCGCAGTGTTAATTTACGTCTCCGAAATATTTCTCAAAAACTGTGCATGGATTTAGACAAGCAATCCCAAGCATCCGGAGGGAGACATAAGCATATGCGATGAACATGCTTAATTCACGCTAAACGTGAGGAGCTGTCCAAATTAGCGGTGAAAAAATACTTGATTTTTTTGCTCTTACCCACAGAGGTCGGCACCGCCGGGGACGTACGGGAGAGACGGCGGGCCCTGTATTTCAGCCGTTCGGCCGCTTAGCACGCGTACGTCGCCGGGTGCCAGAGCGGTCGCTTGAACCCGGACAAGGGCGTATCCCCGAGACGCCTTGCCTGCGGGGTCGAAGGTTGGGCGTGGAGCATCCTCCACAACGGAGAGCACCTCATCTACGGGGCCGTAGCTTGAACACAACGCTGCACGCATCGTCATCGGGCTCGCTTCGTTGACAAATCCTAGTGCAGCCGCCGCCACCGCCGCCAATATCTGTGGTATGCCATGGTGCCATTCGGTGCAACGTGAAATGTTTTGGTAGCTGCTGTAGGATAGTCTAAGGCGCGCTGTATCCGGCACCAAACCGGTTCAGAAATCCCGTTTTGGCTGCTGTACTCCTACCCTACCGTAAGGTTGCGAGTCACCGCACGGTCCGGAGTCATCGCACAGGGGTGCGATGCAAACTAAATGGCGGAATGATATAGTTCGATTTCCGCACAGGGTCCGGAGTCACCGCACAGGGGCGCGATGACTCGCAACCTAGGGTAGTTGAGTGCCAGCGATTCCGGGCAACTTTCACCCCTGCAACTATGCCAGTGCTGGCATGTTAGCTCTGCTGTATGGGTAGTAGGTCATCGTCGCACACCACACGTGGGGGTGTGAAGGAAATGAAACACATTGGTATTTCCATTTGATCGGTGAACTTGAAAAACGTTGGCATTTCCATTGTTTCCACCGGCAGTTCCTGACAATATCGCCTTCAGGGTTTACTCAGGACCGCACATACCGGAGTAATCGCACAGGAGGATGCGAAATATATCAAAACCAAATGATTTTAAATCGATTTCCGCACAGGGTCCGGAGTCATCGCACGGTCCGGAGTCATCGTACAGGGGTGCGATGCAAATAAAATGGCGAAAATGACCGCACAGCAGTGGTGCTCGCAACGCCTACAATTGCTCAACACACGCTTCGAGTCACAGGCTACAGAGGGTACTCGCTTGCTTCACAGGCTACCGAGGGTCGACTACCGCATCGATGCGGAGGGTTAGCTTTTGGAACCATGCTGTATGCATATGCGCGCTTTTCTATTCACATGTGCAAACAGAGAAAACCACACAAGGGGTCCGCGAACGCCGCCTTCCTCTGCCCGGTTCCTGGTCGGTTCTTTTTTTCCAGAACTTGTTTTCTACACAGAAAAAAAAAACAGGTGTACATGTAGGACATAATCATACCATGTGGGTTGGTCTGATCTGATAGGCGCGTCACTCCAACTTGGGCCACAAGAGACAGGAGTCTTCCAGGATAGCACCAGTAACGCCTGCCGCAAACGTTCTGCTTCTGGTCGTGGTTGGCAGCAAAATATCGTTTTGGAGGATTCATTGATTCCACGCATGAAGCAGAATTGGGAGGACAGCAGAATAAAGCGGCAGGATTAAGCCGCAGCAGGACAACGGGGCCGTGTGCTGTCACGGGCACAGAACCCTCCTGTGTCCTTTCATCTCTGAACTGCATCGTGCTCTATGCCACGCCAAGGGCCAGGGGCTAGGTCATTGACACACGACACGACAGACGCCAATGCTGCTGGCTACATCTCGACACGCGCTACATACACCATTCTGCCGCGTAATCCAAAGGCCATTCGCGTAACTACCGGACAGCTGCTGTACACCTATGTATATACTGTGGGCGCGTGTACCGTACCTGCGAGAGTTGATTCCCTCTCAGCTCAACACGTTCGTGTTGCCAAATTGCAGATTGCTCTTTCTCGGCTGGGGGTCGGCGGCAAGAATAACAGTAAAAAAAAGAGCGGGTTGATTCGGAAGGTACCCAATTTTCAAACTTCCAAGTCCGGTTCCTGTGATTGGCCAACCTCGGATTGAGGATTGTTGTTTGTTATAGGTTTTCCTCACATTTCACATTACACTCGTGTCAGTTGCTGATCCCAAAATCTAGCATAGACCCGGTCCGTGGTCACAAAAATGCTAGAGCAAGATCTAAAGAACACGCACACTTTGCAACAAAGGGGTACACAAGCCGAGGAGGTACACCTACAATTCCTGCAGGATCAGAAGGGAAAATAGAAAAGCATTCGAGATTCGGAGAATTATTTGAGTGAAAACCGCGGCGCGGGCATCAAGCATCACGCTGGCGCAGTTCGCCCAAACCCCACCGCTGTTTACATTTGATTTGAGAGGGAGAGTACCACAAGATATCCTGTCTGTGGGCATCAGCAACACTTTTCTCATCACACACTGCTGATGACCGAAGCTAAACAAATCAGGTACCTCCGGGTCCATTTATTCCTTCCAGCGGGGGCCAGACAAAAAAAGAAAAACGGGAAGCAGAGAATTTGCACGTCGGCGTCTCCGTGATAAGTGCCCACCTCGTCTGTGCTAGGCAGGAGGTACATACACGGAAAGAAGGCAACGCACGTCGGAGGCAGAACTACAGTAGAAGGGAGAGGGCGCGAGAGGGTGGACAACGGACAACCGCACGGAAGAGAAGCCCGAACCTGCGGCATGCCATGTCACACCCGTCTACGCATAGTGCGTATCGCCCAGGCAGCGGGCGACCAGAGCGCTCCCGTTGAACTGATAGAAGGTGAAGGTACAGGGTGAGGCACTTCACCGCCAAGATACACATGGCGTCAGTGCGAGCACCGCTCTTCGTGTCAACATTGTCAACAAAAAAATCGTTGTGAGCGCAAATATTTCGACCGGCATGTCCTTACGCCATGTGACCGACGGAAAAGCAGCACAGGAAAAGCCCTTTTCCCCTTCACAAGGAAATGATCCCTGCCTCGCCCCCCCGTGTCAACCCCCTCCCTTCCCAAGAGTCACTAGGGCATACATACACGAGAGCATCCGCCGTAACCGGATGAACTCATCACTGCTGTGATCTTCAATTCATTTAAAAGACGACGTGCTGGCCCGCCAGCAGCACCGCCTGCTTTCGCTCGCACACCGCAGTAGAGCTGCACCCACTGAGCCCCCTCCCTCATCTAGGCTCCTTCCGAAAACCCGTCTACATGACGGCCTTGGTGCGTTAAAGAAATTTTAACATGGAGGATGCAAGTACACGGTCGCCTCTACAACTCTAAACAATTATTCTAACAATCGTCAACTGGCTGCCACAGCCGCTCCGCCAAAAGAGCACACCCGTATCCGACTTTCAGCTCCCCGGAGCGCCGAGTCCCAAAAATATCTGTGGACTACACGGCACAAAACCTCAACATATATATATTACTACCCAATAAAGCAATACCGCAAGGCTCCTGTGCTTGACTGAGTGGCCCACGATTGTTTCGCCCAAAGCTGTCCGCATCGACAGGGTGCTCACGCAATACCCATGCACAACAAACGAAAACAATAGCCCTGCGCTGCAGTGTCGACATAAGGAGGTCAATATGCCGCTCACCCGAAAGCCCAAGCTTACTTCGCAGAGCTATTCAAGCTTCCCTAAAGCGCAACAAAACGGCGGCGGCGTCCCCCTCCGACGCAGGTGATGTCAGCCACCACCAAGCTCTCCACCCTTGCCCCTTCCCTCCCGCGCCTGCAGCTGCCACTGCAGGCAGTCCTTAGAGGTTCAGCACGACCATCAACGTGGTGGAGACATTAAAGTCCCCTTCGCACCATTCGCCCATCCCCCCGGGCCCTTTTGCTCACACCCTTCCGCTCTCCTGCCGTCACACACAGGACGGCGGAGAAAACCCAGCGTGAATCCCGCACCAAGAGAGGGAGACCGGCCCTAGGAGTTTATTATCGATTAAATGATGCAACCCCGCCTCTCCGTCCTGCGACTGTTGCTGCTGCTGCCGCTGTTGCCTTGCCCCGCAGCGCCCGCCGCTGCAATCTTGCTCATTTCTTGGTATCGCGGTTGAGCAGCCAGGTGCTCCACTGTCAAGGAGCGTGTGTGACGGGAATAGGGGGAGGGGGAAAGTGTGAGCGTTCGGAGGAGGGAGCGATCCGCTGGTCAGAATATCACGAACACCGACCGGTACGGAGAGTGGGGAGTAAAATCGTGCAAAAGCAAGGCGAACCCGCCCTCTAGCTCTGTGCCACAGGCGAGAAAAGAGCGCTTGGTGCCATGGTAAAGAACTGATCGTTGAACAGCAGCAGTGGTTCGTCAACAAAAAAGAACAATTGGGGGGCATCATGTGGTCGTCAACCGTAAACCTGGCCAGCGTGACGGCGTCAGGAGCATGCCGGCGTAACATAGTCAGCGATGGTCCTTAGCATGATACGAGGGAAAGCGGGTGCGAATCCCCAGACATGCGTGGGAAAGCCTCAGATGCATGTCTCGCTGCATGCCGTTGTTCACACAATTGGCTCCTTTACTATTGTAACATTGCGATCATCTGTTAGCCTAACCGGCAAACACCATCACCCAAGTCCAGAACACAACGCGCTCAGTGCACATGCACATGCCGTAAGAACAGTACCTGCAAGCACGTGGCGATCGTTACCCAAGCCGCCGTGGGGGCGAAGAGGTACCCCGCTCTATCGCTCACATCGAAGAAAACCTTGATGCCTGCGCCACCGCCGAAAAGGGCAAAGTCCGCGAACACACAACAACGACACAACAAGCAATGGCCGACGTAAGAACATCAGGACCATCAAATTCAAGGCACGTGGAGACAGAGAGAGGAGAGTCGCACATCATCATGCCGCGGAGGAGAAAGCAAGGATAAGGCCAAACTAGGTGCGTGTCTGGAGTGGTGCCCACGAAAAAAACAACAAGGGTGGTCCGGGTGCGGTCACACAGCAATCGTCAACCCGCAAAAATTGTGTGCTCTCATGTTGTCACAGGCCAGGAGGCGAATCGCGTGCCTGCACTCTCACGACATCTGCATAGGTTAAATTAAGGAAGACTACAGGGGATCAGGGGTACCTGGTAGTTGGGGGTTCAAAACAAATTAATGGCGTGGTAAACTTGACGCCGTAGGCTCTTGACTCATCTTACCGGCAAGGAGAGTCAAGTAGTACAGAGAGATGACCACTGTGCCCATCTTGAGCCGGCGTCTCTCAAAGAACACCTGCCGGCCAGACACACCGGGGGGAGGTGCGAAGCTAGGTCAAGCGCACACCACGAATGTGAACAGGACATGCGTGTGCAACAAAGGGAAGGCGGCTAGGCCAACGCGGCGGTTGAGAGCTACCGAAAAAAAGCCACGGAACAGGTGCGCATATGGTGAGCGTGCGAGACGGGCCTGCAGTGAAAAAAGTGCCAACAGCCCGAGACGGAGATGGGGGGGGCGTAGTCATGCTTGCGTGCCTTAGCTGTTAAGACCATTGACCACGCGTCCTCGACAGGACGGAATATTGTTCTCACAGGCCCAAGACCGATGGCCAATCATTCCTTCGTACTTTGTCTAAGGTTGCTCAAAAACGGTTTCTATATCCTGTCTATCTTGTCGGTATCACTTCCCGCCTTTTCCGCTCAATTCCCATGCCCCACAATAGCTGGTGGGTGGAGCGGGGGGGGGGGGGGGGGGGATTGAAAATTTAACGGGAAACCCAAAAGAAAATTTCTAATTTGGGGGAAAGGGAACCCCCCCCCCCCAAAACCCAAACCCCTCCTCTCTTTAAAAGCTTTTTAAACCCCCCCTTTTTTCCAAAATCCCCCAAAAAATTTTAAAAAGGGTAAAACCCCCCCCGGAAAGGAAACCACCTTCCCCTTTTCCATTTTTTCCCAAATTCGTAAAAAGGGAAAACCTTTTTCTCGGAAAAAAAACCATTCCCAAAAACAAAAAAAAAACCGCCCAAATTTAGCCCCCCCAAAGGGAAAACAATGGGGAAAAGGGGGGAAAAAAAAAACCCCCCCCCGCAAAAAAAAAAATTTCAAACCCGCAAAAAAACCAAAAAAACCCCCCCCCCGGGAACCCACCTTTTTTGGGCCCCCCCCCATAAATATTGAAAAAAAAAACCCCAAAAATTTTT